CTTTATGGTTCTGAAACCAATAAAACACGTTCTTGCTTTCGATCTTACCATAAAAGCTGAGCTGAGTGGAGATCTTCTGTATTTGATCTGTGCTCGGTGTTCGGAGTCCTGAGCTGAACAATTCATTCAGAACTTTAACCTGTTCCGAGGTGGGATTCCAACGCCCGCACTTGGTTCCCATACTGCCATTCCCACCACCGACTGCTGCCGCTCGAGCAGCCTCTGCTTTAATGTGAAAGCCTGACACGCCTTCGTCCATATCCAAACTCCTTCAAGAAGAAAACTTCTCCGAAATAATAAACTTTCTTTCCGCACTTCTGATCTGATCAAAAGAAATGAGAGTTTTCGTGTTGACATATAAAAAGAAAGTAGCTTAAATTAATCATTTTGCCATTGAATCTACTAACCGTTATTTTATATAGATACACCAATCACTGCTTTGATCTTAGGGTCTGTAAGGATTTGACCTTACCTAGATTTTTGAGCTGAGTTGACAAGAGATAAGGTTACACAGTGTGAAATCAATGAATTGTGACATTAAACTGTTCCTTTGTTTGAGGGTTTTTGTGTTTTTCAGTAAAGTACGCAGACTATTCTAGACCAAGTCCAACCCCACAAAGACGTTTGAATATTAATCTAAGAATTTGTCCATAGAACACAATAATGGTGATGATGCAGAGGGAAAGTCAAAGTTTTACATTGCTTTGGTCATATTTATACTGAGTTACGTTGACGAATATGGGATGATCAGACAGATAAAGTTGGAGCTAACACTACTTTTAAGGGTGTGTGCGAAGTGGGAACACAAACTAGAAGACAATAAAGCCATCAATTGAGATTCGGGAAGCAACTTGGATTATGTTATATCATGTGCTTCCTGTCCTGATTAAAGCAGTTTCTGCTTTCTTGTTCCGTTTTTAAGGTTTAATTTTGAGTTCTTTCTTGCAGCAGTCAAAGGGAAGGGGTAGGGTAAACATGCACTTGTTTTGCGTGCGATTAGTTCTACAATTCCCAATGATGTTCTGTTGAAGATATAAACAAAATAATCGAACAAAAGTCTCTTTGCACTTGCACTGCGGGTGGCTATCTTCTAACTTTTAGGTTACTACCTATATGTAGTTTTATATTTAATTATTTATTTTAAATTATATAATATAAGTTAAATATTTTTCATTCTTTAATTTTAATTTTAATTTTTTAATTTTTATATAAAAAAATTATTATAAAATTATTTAAATCATTGATTATGTAATTTTATTATTTTTTTAACAAAAATATTAATAAATTAATCACCTTTTAAATATCATCTCTTTTTTTACAATAATTTATAAATAGGGCCGATTGCGAGGTACTTACTACTGAATTTTCTATCAAAATTTCACGTACACATGCATTAGGGAAGCACTTAAATATATACCTGGGGTTGAGTGAAGGATTTGAGGATAGAGATTGGGAAAAGTGCGATATGTCTGTATTCGTGTTGTTTGTCGGTTGTCCAGAAGAAGACTAAGAAAGGGGGATAGACCTAAGGGTAAGCTCAGATAGATACTAAATTAGGCTAAAAAGAAAGGAGGGCACGCGTGAAATCCAGGCTGCCTCGCCCACGCCGGGTCCCCGCCCAGTTTCTGAAATTTGGTGGTTCTAAAATTTACAATGAAATAAAAAAAATTTAATTATAAAAAATTATAATATTTGATGGAGTTTGTATTTTTGAAACCAATAAATCTTTCTCACCAGCTGCATGTCTTTTCGGGTAGATGCAATCGCACTAAGAGGTAGTGGAAGTGGAACCGTACTTTGGCACATTATTCATTAATGCATCCAAAGACGTAAAAAAAAAATCGCAGTTTAGAGGGTGGACGTAACGGTTTTAGGGAGACAGGGCTTGAGAATCTGATTCATGTTGGATCCATTTTCGGTTCATGGCCTGCAAAGGTAATGTGGTTTCTAAACTTCCCGCCCCTTGAATCCCTTTCCCGGTAAAGTCAGAGAGGGCGTGGCTCATTGTGCATCAAAACAAACACATCCCTTTTTTCATCACTTAATGATTGTAATAGGTGCTTTTTTAATTCCCTTGGTAAAATAAACGAATCTGTCATCTAGGGCTGGGCGTTCGGTGGTTACCCGAATGGGTAACCGGTAACCGATAACCGACAAAAACAATTTGATTTTTCTTTTTGGTACAGAGGATGCTAAATTAAAGACTAAGATCTAAGGAACATGGTCCCAACAGCGTCTCCATGCATGAACATGCTGATCCCAGCAGGTGGAGTCTGATAAAAGGTCGTACCCAAGGGGGATTTGTGGCCCAAGGAAGCCATAAAATCAGTGGCAGAGTTTCCCTTGCGAAGTGTCTGGCAAACGATACAGGTACTGAAAGCATCAATTAAGACCAAGATATCAGAAAGTAGGACAGAACAAGGTTCCCTCCCTACCTTACGAGCTTGAATTAGTTGAATGGCCCTTAATGAGTCCATCTCAAGGATGAGATACTGCAAGTGTAAGGAGTGAGCAAGCTTTAATCCCTCACGGCAGCCCCGAAGCCCAGCAATAAAGCTGGAAGAAGTAACACCAATATTGACCGTGAAACCATGGACCCAACGACCCAAGTGATCACGGATCAGTCCCCCTGCACTCGCACATCCAGATTGATGGTTCCGAGGGCCATCTGTATTTAACTTCAAAAAGGGCTGATCCGGAGGTTGCCACCCCACCCATCTTGGTGTACGAGCAACTGTCAACACAGAAGAGTTGGAGGCAATAGAAGTTTCCAAGGCATGAGATGTAGCCTTTTTTTACCTGATTTTAGTGTTAACCGACAAGATTTTTTATTCAATTTTAGTTTGAAGGTCCATTAACTGAAAACCAATTAAGGGCCTCCAAATCAACCGAATTGAGGCTCAATTTTTTGGTCCAACGGATTTTCGAGCCCAACAGATTTTTAAAAGGTCAAAAAAAAAATAATAATAATAAACCCCCTAAATCATCAGTTCTCCACGGCAGCCGCCACCACTCTTTTCATCAATTCTCCACCGACATTTTATCCGTTTAAGTTTTTGTTCTTTTTTATTTATTTTTTCCACATTGATTAACTAATATCATTGCAAAATTAAACGCAGAATGGATTCACTTGGTTTATGGCTATACGAGGTCCATGGAAAACATCTTTCTAAGAGCTCATCAACTTCTACTTAACTTTGCTAATCAAATGTCAAATCACAGAAGGGGGAAAAATATTACACTACCACCTCAGAACAAACATGCCTGCTTTCCTTAATTAGCCGCATATGGGTAACAATTTAAACCAATGCGAGTGTGATTGTCTTAAGAAATGGATTTAGAACATGCACCGAAATTACAGGACCTGAGCAGCTGTGTTCAACTTTTCTGCTAAGCTGAGTTGCGTCCTGGTGATGCTTGACAAATATAAAAGTAATAATTGATCCTGCATGAGTCGACAACAAAGAAAGCAGCAAATTTACAATCCGATGAAACGCAGAGAGTATAAAGAATGCTATGGTATATATTAAACATGGCTTACCTGTAGGTTGTCGTTCACCAGCTTATCCAAAGCCGAAGGTGAAAGTTTTGGGAGGGCTGTAACAGTATCAGCTATAAATCTGCCAATGCTGTTATCAGGTGCAACACGTCCTTCCTGAGAACAAAACCACATACCAAATCAGATGGGCAACAGCTAATATAAAATGCTTAGAACAAACTTATGAAAGGTAGAACCATCTACTTAGCACTTACAACAACATCATCAACATATTTGTAGACATCATCAATCAAAGCCAATAGTCGTTCCATTGAGACCTCCATTCCTTCCAACTCATTTGGGAGTTTATCAGCCGATGTTGTTTTGAGGATGTCAACTATCAATATGACCATTTTGTAAATTAGATTGTGTGATGACAAAACATTGCCACTTAAATTGCAGCATTACTTCTATTATGTGTGCCTCTGTGTATGTGTGTGTGTGTGTGTGTGTACAAGCAGTTAAATTATAAATTTCTTCACATTTCCATGTGGAAGCAACAGCACAAAACAAGAAAAGAAAAACTAAAGCATCATTCTAAGCACTTTAAGCTCAGCCATGCATCAATTTTTAAGCCTAAAATGGTAAGAGTGGCAAGTCCATGGAAGCAAAAATTTATTTTCCATGCATCAAAACAACACCTCTGTTTGGCCAAGTAGGAAAAGAAAACGGTATCTCTGACATCATGAGATACTTGTATCAGCAGGGTCAATGCCCCCTTTCCATTAAACTCATAAACATTGTATTTAGCCATAAAAGAAAGGACTGAAGGGAGTTAAAAAACACACACACCACTTACCAACAAACAGCTTTACATTAGGCAAATATTAGGAGCCTAGGAAACAGGTATTTAAAACCTAGCCCCTTACTACAGGCCTGAGAACCAATATAATCATGCATTCATTGTTATCCTGACCCACATCTCAGCAGCAAGAGAATAACAACTGAGAGAGAAAGAGAGAGCAAAGCTTCTAAAAGGATTTCAATAGGGACGAGGTAAAGAGAGAGAGATACATACATCCAATTCGCTCAGCTTCAACCATTCGTTGGTCAAGAGGAATTTCTTGGAATTGAGCAACAAGTGGTCGGTCTCCAATAGACAAATTGACAGAAACATATGCCTTTATGGTACCTACCCCATTTGTGAATCCTGTATCCACTGTCAGATGGATAGGATTGGGAACTTCTCTAGAATAAAAGTCATGGAACAATGCACTAGCACCAGTGACTCCAAGCCCAGTAGAAAACCTGCACCAGTTACCAGGACATCAGCCAATCTAGAGACAGGAAGCTCAAAGAACCCAATATTTAGAACAAAAGCATGTCATGCCTAAAAATGTGCTTCAAATGGAAATTATAACTTTCTTATTCCATTTTTAACATGTTAATCGAAAAACTTGAAAGGAAAAGGAGATGTACTTACCATCCAACAATGACTTCTTTTGGATTCACTTTTTGGTGGGAGACTAACATATTGTGATGGTAATCAATATCCAAAGCAACCTGCAGCCATAGAAGAATACATAAGTAAAAACAGCACATAAATATTAAAAACTCCATGCAGCACACAATTATTGTAGAGTAAAAAAAAAATTCGGCAAAAAGCTAATGATAGCTAGAACAGCTCTACTCAGTTCAGGTAAGCTGGTGAAACAGTGCTTTCGGCTTGTAGCAGTCATTAGAAGCTATTGCTTTAAATCAACACAAGTTTTTCTATCCTTGAAACAAAAACAATGTAGCAACCTCAACTAATATACTTCAAACATAAAGTTCTCAGAAATCATAAATCAGTAGCCCCAGAGATTGCTGTGGGTGCAATATCACAAAATTATCTCAAGAGACGGAAACAAATCAAACATAACCAAGTAGAAAAAAACTGACCTAAATTAGATTAAGCTAAATTAAGAATTACTGAGGAAGCTAACGATCGGAATAACCAAAAAGCAGTGAAGATTTGCCAATTAATCTAGAGCTAATAGCAGATATAATAAGAGGATTAGAAGAAGCAACCAGATCGGGAGATTCATTGTGAGGAACGGCGTAGCAGTTTCGTATATCGACGGTGCCATCGGGGAGGACGGAACCGAGGAGAGTACCGATGACGCGCTCCGCCTGGTCCGGTCTTCTCACGTAGCAGTCGCAGATGTTGAATAGGACGAGAGGGTGCACCTTCGCCGACAGGTTAGTTGATGATGGTGCAGTGAACTGCAACACAGTGTGCTCGCTCGCCGCCATCCTCTCTGATCTTAATCGGGGGGAAAAGTGGAACAGAGAGAACAGGGGAGAAGGCGATAAAGGTAGGGTTTTGCGGGGGGAGACCTGAAAATAACAAAACCTAGCAGGGTTGCGAGGCTCCTTCACTTGAACCCTGATGTTGGGGCTAAAGCCTCAGGAAATAATCCATTCCAGCCCACATGTGACATAACGACTGCAGCCCAGGTTTTCTATTTTTCGAAAGGCTTAAAAGCCCAGCTCATAGGTGGATTATTTAGGTCTTTTACCTTTCTATGTTATGCTTTCTTTTAGCTATGGTTTATTTTTTCTTTTTCTTTTCTCTTAATGGCTGTTTTTAATAGTTAAAATTTTAAAATTAAAAATTAAAAACCTCAAATTCAAATCTTAAATCGAATGGAGAGGGGTTTAAAAAAAGACGAGGGTTATCATTTCTTGTGTGATAACCTATCATTATCAAATGTACAAAAAAAAAAAAAAATGATTTTCTTTTCTTCAAACTTATTTTACACTCCGACATGTTTTGAGAGAAGCCAACTTTTGTGCTGATTTCTTTGCGAATATGGGTCACAGCCACAGGCTCACCTCTTTTGCTTGCTGTCGTTTGGAATTGTTGCCCCTCTGGGCTTGATATGTATCTATATGCTGATATTAACGGGCTGAGTCTCCAAGAACCTAATGTATTTTTTGTGTGTTTTAGGGCTTATTTGGTACAGCGGTTAAAATTCAGCGGATAGCGGATAGTGGGTAGCGGATAACAGTAGCGGGTAGCGGTTGGTGGTTAGCGGTTGGCGGTTAGCGGATAGCGGATAACGAATGACAGATAGCAAAAAGTAGGTAGCGGATGATAAATAACGGATTCGATAAATATAATTGTTTAGTTATA